ACACACACACACAGAGCTGGTGATGGAGCGCTGCTGCTGCTGCTGCAGTGTATGGACAAAACTGAGTGGGAAATAAAAAAATAAATAAAAAACAAAATAAAAAATAAAAATAAATAAATAAATAAATAAATTTATTTATTTTTATTTACTTACTCGGCACAACATCGAAGAGAACAACGTCTCCTAGCTCCCTCAAGCTGCATAGGAAAGCCATGGTGCCTCCTATCATACCGGAGCCCACAAGGACGATCTTTGGGCGTCCACTCTTCTCACAAACGGCCATTTTCGTAAAAATAATTATAAAATAAATAAAAAAGAATAAATTTTATGCAAAATAAGCGAAAAACCAGACGAAAAGGTGCACGACAAGCCAGCCCCGGGGTGTATGTACACCTCAACAAGCACACATATATTTTATATATATGTATGTATACACACACAGGGAGAAGGGGAGAATATATAGGGTTAATATGCAGCAAAAGAAAACGAAATTAATAAATTATATTCACAGAAACAAAAGAAATACATCTGTTGATGATGAGGCGCTTATAAATAACAAGCGCAGCAGCAGGGGGCTGTAGGGGCTATACACAACAGAAGGAGAGGTGCAGTGTACGCACCCAGCAGCAGCAGCAGCATATATGCTTCTGCTTTTGTATCAATATTTATTTTTATTTTGTTTTTTAATTTATTTATTTCTTCCTTTCATATACAAAAATCCTATAAGATGAGTAAAAATACATCAGGGCACACACTACACAGCTAATAGAGACGGAGACGACACAGAGACACACGCACTCAAGCAGCAGCAGTACAAGCAGCAGCAGCAGCAGCAGCAGCAGCAGCAACAGCAGCATGAGTATGGAGAGTTCGAAGCAGCACAGAGCAGCACCAGCAGCAGCAGAAGCATCGATGTGTTCCTGTATCCCCTGCTGTCTATACACACCACCATCATCTTCTTTATAAACCCCAAATGTGTGCTCGAGCAAACGATCGCTGCAGCAGCCACAAAAAACTAAATGCTGCGAGAAACCCCAAAAATATGCAGCAGCAGCCTGCACACTACTCACTACTAGCTCAGCAGCTTAGCTTAGCTCCTGCGTGAGCTCTCCAAGCAGAAGAGAAAAATATATTAGATAAGACCCCCTGCACCCAGCTCACCTAGTCTTCCTCCTCCACCAGCCCCCGCACAGCAGCATGCAGCATGCAGCATGCAGGCCTGAGACTGGCGCGCCGATGACGCGGCTGCCTGTACTGGCTGCAGCTCCTGCTGTGAGCTGACCCCACAAGGAAACGTATCAAAACCCTTTCTAGGTGCATGCACATGCAGTGTATATATTTCTTAAACACTCTTCTAGCCACAAGTAACCCCCTCTCTGCACTCAACTCTAACGAAAAAAATATCCGCGTGAGGTACACTCTGCTGCGTCACCCTCGAGCCAGCTCTCTCCACAAGCAGCACACACCGGCTTGCGCCAGCTGCACAACGAGTGAGGCCTGCATTGAAGGGGGAGAGGGAGAAGCGGGTGCTCTCAGAGCCCCGAAAACAGGAGAAAGAGAGAAAGAGAATCATCAGGGAAAGGGGAAAGCAGCATTTGGCGAGAGTTTATCGATTTGTTTCTGTTCCTAAAGAACAGAGAGCGATGCAGAAGCACTCTGCAACTGCGGGGCTCCTTGTGGCGCCAGGCTCCATATACAGCGTGTGCTTGGGATGGGAGCATCGTCTTCATCCCAGCATAAAATAAAAAATATAATTAGTAGCTGCGGGCGAGCGGGGAGCGGAGTCAACCAGCTGCGAACCAGGTCCAACCCCTCAACATGAAAGGAAAAGCAGCGTGCTGGTTTGCGTTGTTTAACTTGCAGTAGATAGAGGGAGATACCGGGGATAGACTGGCAAAGAAACTTGGGGGCCGGTAGAGCGCAGGTATAGCGATATGGGGTCTTTTATACAAGTAAAAGGGAACAGTCTAAAACAATGTTTAACGCGGCCTGAATCTCTGCATGCG